ACGGAGCACCAGTACGGACCGCGGATTGATCTACGGTCCGTGGATCTTCCTCCGTAGCTCCATACTTAGAATCTTCAAAATCAGGTACTGGAACCCCTCTCTGAATCATTTGACGCATCAACAGTACGGTCTGTAGATCAATCTACGGTCTGTCGATTGCAACCATGGTTCCACACTTGGTCAAGAATTCCGTGATTTTCCTTCAAGCCTTGCCTTCCCATCTACGACACCCATCTACGGAGCGTGAATGGACTTACGGTTCGTGGATCACCTTCGTAGATGCCTTTTTCTGCACATCCTTCAGTTGCGTCCAGTTTCCACGTCTGAACATATTTTCTGCAAACATGAGAAAAATACATAAAACCAATACAAAATGGCCCTAGACATATACAATTCTTAAGTGAAATGTATTAAAAATACCGTAAACTCACGGTATATCAACACCCTCATCTTAAATTCGTTGTTTGTCCTCAAGCTACACACTAAAACTCTAAACGGCACTTTGTATAGAAGCAAGCATTTCAAGCACAAGCAATCACATGACTCTCTACCCCGACTCTCTTCTCGAGTGCAAATCTTTTCTCTCAGACTCAACAAGCTAACTTGTGCGGATCCAAACATGAAAACGACTGACCAACCAACACACAACATACACTATTTTACTATCACTAAGGTACCAACTTTCCGACAACGTACCTAGTGCCCTTACTTCAAACGAAATCCCTGTTTTTTCACAATGAATATGATTTTGAGTACAAGGATTCATTCAACACTCACACTCAAAAGTAACTTCAAGTACAGTTAGTGCTCAATACCATAGGCTTGCCCTTATTTTAACTGCTTAGACTCTCCAAACTAGGTTCTAGGATCACTCTAGGAATTTCTTGGCTTGTAGCATAGGCTCAGGGTCAGGTGTGGTACAATTGGGTACTTTTTAGTGACTTTCTGCCCTCCTTGACATTACATTAGGCTTTCTACCTTTTTTGCCCTATTTTTGACATCCTACCATTTTATCTTCTTTCCCTTGGTTCTCTTCAACCATGGATGTGACTTTAGACTTTGTAGCTCTTTATTTTTCACTTTCATCTTTTTCTTGCTTTTTATTCGTTTCTTTAGCCTTCAAAAAGTCACATCCTTTCCTCTTTTTCTTTCTCTTTTTCAACATCAAACTCTTTTCATACCCATTTTTCTTTCGGTTTCCTCTTTCATAGCCACCCTCAACTTATGGATTTTCCATTGGTTGAGGTGCACAATACCCATTGTCGGATCACGGCCAAGATTGAGGTTACTTTTTAAATTAGCCATCCTCAACTTAGGCTTTTGGCCTAAGTCGAGGTGCACATGTCTAAGGAGGGACTGGGGCCAACATAGTAGATTATGGGAAGGTGAGTTAAAGGTTTAGAAAGAAATGGTTTAATTTAGGCTCAAAGCATTTGGATCAAAGGGAGCATTTATTTCATTTGGTTGGATTCTTCTTTTAGGCAATTTGTGGACTTATCATAACAAGGGCCTATGATCACTTCCTAGCCTCTAGAGTAGATTGTCTTAGCAGGACTAACCGGGCAATCCTAACATATGCTTCGTTCTTTCTCGTGCTTCTACACATACAATCCTAACATATGTTGGTTCAACAAAAATTAAGCAGTCTCTTGGGGGAAAAGAACACAGGTAAGAAAACCCCAAGAGAAGATTATGAGTTGGGTTACTAAGACTTCACCCTATCACCCACAATCCATTTACCCCACCCCCAACGAAAAATAGGTGCAATTATCCCGAATGCACACAAAAAGTAGTAAAAAGTAATGGATTTGGGTGAAGCAAACCTGTGGCGCATAGCAACGACAAACCATCAACAAACGGGTGGGTCCGGTTTCTCGGAGCCCGCTTCAGCAACATTGGGGCAACCTTCAGTAGTGCCCATGTCAGCAATCACATCACCCTCAGTAGTGCTATCAATCATTCTAACTGCACCATCAATGGTGCTCACAACATGACTCTCAACAGTCGGAACCTCGACAATTGGCACAGAACTCGAAGCCCCACGTGCACTCTCACGAACCTTTTGCTGGCGCAAATCCTCATTTATAAAAAAGGTTTTTCAAGCCTGTTCAGTCCGCTAGCGCTCTCGCTTCTTTGTTCAGGACTCTTCAGTAGTGTCAGAATTTTGACTGGAGCGGTGCCTCTTCCCACGAGCAGGGGTGGGCTCGAGTTGTGCATCCGTATCCTCGTTGAATAGAGCATCGAGTATGGTATCATCAGCCAATGCAGTGGGTGCAGACTCTGGCTCATCTGTGGGAGCAGCAAGGATCGAATCAATGTCAGCCCGTAGACTATCAAACTCATTCCGAATGGAGGAAAAATTTGTGACCGGGGATGGCCGTGCGAGTAATCTCAACTCGAAGGGATCCAGGCGCTTATGAACGGCCTGAACCTTCTGATCCATCATGGTTTCCATCCTCTTCTCCATCCTTGCCTCAGAATCTGCAATGGACTTCTGCATCCATGGATTCACATGGTGGAGTAGTGTGGCCATCTGTGCCTCCAATTTTTGAACTCAAGCTAACGGTACAACAGAGGATCCAGAAGCCGGGGTGGCTCTAGATAAGCTGGGGGCCTGACTAACAGCCTGAGAAGAGGAGGTAGGGGCATCATCAGTGTGGGCTGTAGGGTCAGGCTCATCACCCTACATCTGCTTCATAGCAGCTACTAAATCAGTACCTAATGGCACATCGATCTGTGGCCCTCTGCGAGGTGCTGCCACATGTGCCTCGTCTCTAATCAAGGCTAATATCTAGGGTCCCCGTTGCCTGTATCAATTTGTCACAATGCCAGATCGTCACGCTATAGTCTCTGCATTGTTGAAAAATGAGGCACGAAAAAGGGTAAGTAGTGGAGGTCTTAAATTCCCTCTCATGAATCTCTGCCAGCAGCGTGCGAGTGATTTGATCTCGAACCCAGCTACTAATGTTGCCACCATTACTGCTCTATCCCATGTAAGTGCATTTTCGGCCTTTGTGGGCGACACTCTGTTCTTTACCAGCAACCAAAAAAACTTGGCCACCAAATTTAAGGCGGCCTTCCGAATACCCAAACGTGGTGAGCTAACCCACTATGCACGCTCTCCATTTGCAGTTGTATGCCTTTCCAACCACAGTAAGGCAGCCTCCCTCTATTTGGCATTACGCGTAAAGGCTCCTCTCCTCACAATATCCCATCTGTAATCAAATTCGGTTGTGTTGAGTGCCCAAGTATGATCAAGGCCAGGGCCATAGAGGAATCGGCTGATGGTGGTATGTGATGTGACCATTGGAAAACCTTGGACCATAGTAGTAGTGAGAGGGTCCTAGGTTGTAGGATTGACTCTAATTAAATTGAACCTTGGAAAGTGGCAGCATATGAGGCATAGAACTCCCACACAAACTCCTCGCTATAAGTCCCTGGATCTCGAGCTATCCAATCGCACTTGTGAAGCTGAATAAGCCGGTGGATGTCGGGAATAGTGTGTAAACTCCCCGTGAGGAATCTGCGCACTTCAGTAATAAGCCGGGCCATCTTCTCTTTCTCATTCCGCATTCTGGCATCCCGATAGATTTTCCATTTCCCCTTAACACACCATCTGTTTGGCTCCCCAGCCACCGAATCAGGGTCTTAGCTTTGTGGCACCGGGACTTCTCCCGAACTAATGGTCTCATCAGACGAGGCAGTTTTGTCATGTGATCCTGAGCCTGTGGCGGATCCAGAATCGGAGCCGAAAGCATGGGCGGGCTCAGAGCTGGAAGCAGAGACAGACTCTGAGCCGTAAGTAGAACCAGCCTCAGAACCGAAAGCAGAACCAACCGGTGACCCGATCAGTGTTTTCTCCTCATCAGATTGGGAGACAGTGGCTATGTCGGTGACCATCTGTCGGGATGTATTCCGAGTAGCTTGAGGTGCAGTGGGGGATGTCCTCATGGCTGGTGGAACATATGCTGGATCATTTTCTGCGTCCGTGTCTTCCTCAATCAGCCTAAAAGTAGGCTGCACGAATTTTGATTTGCCGCTTTTGGAGTAGGTCACTTGCTTCTTAGGCGCCATGGTACCTATGGATGTCCAATTAGTACCAAAATAAACTCATAATACAGTCGAAAAGATTTTAGAACTAACAATGAACTAAAACGAAAAATAGAAAAAAAATTTAGACAGTGGCTTTAGTGGCAACCTACGGTGGGCATCTACGACCTGTAGGCTGACCAGGGAACTAGGGGTGTCGGATCTAGAACACACTCTTTTCAACTTAGAGACATGGAAAAAGGATACACCTATGCCAACTCAATAGGTAAGGTTAACTCGTAAGCACCCTAAGCACATGCCTCAAGATCTCTCATGGGCCTACAAAATGGGTACTAAGCTTCCCTTTCATACTAAACTCACTACACCCTTCATTGGTGGGATATGTCAAGTAATCCCAAGTCACAAACACTAGGAATACGCAATGACCTTGTCATTGAGGCACACCATCTCCCCCTTGGAAGGAAGCCTCAACGGAATTTCTAAGCACTATCTCTTTCAATTCTACTAAGGTAGGATCAAGATATTGCTTAACTTTCACTTTTAACTCATATGATGATCCTGAACCATTTTAAACCATAACTACTACCTTTGGTCGAGTCTACTAGCCAAACACATCTAGGTATTATCTAAACACCCTACTCAAAATGACCATACTTTAGATCAATCTTAAAAGATAACTAACTCCTTGAAGTTGGTCAACACTTGAACTCTTCTCCCTCACCTTAGCTAGGTGGTACATGCAACCCTCAAAGTCATTTTCAAAACAAGAAATAACCCAAACTTATGACATAGACTTTCCCCCTTCCACTCCCGGATATGCTCATGTGGGAACTAATAATTTTGACTATACGGGTTCTACAATCGCAAAGGAGCATAATAGGAGTGCAACCAAAACATCACAAAGTTAACATAAAAAATCTAATAATTCACAAACATCAATGAAGAACCTACTAACATACCGGGATCCACATCGGGGCACACTCTTCTTCACCTCTAGCTTGAAGTGCATAAAACCAGTTTTGCTTGGGGGCATTAGAGTTCGGACCACTAGGAGTGGCTTGCTTGCCCTCTCTTCCTTTAGCCTTAAGCATCGGGCAATCCCTCATTTTGTGACCACTTTTTCCACAACCATAACAACCATCCATGCCGGCTAGGCACCTACTATGGTGATTCCTTCCACACTTGGTGCAATTAGGCTTAGGCAATGAAGACTCACCACCCTTCTCTTGGTTAAACTTAGAGGTATTGGGAGAATCTTGACCGGAATACCTTTGTTTAAACCTAGTCCTACCTTGTCCATCGGATCTAGCATTGGAGGAGTTCCCATCACCGGTCCTATCTCTTTTCACCTCCTTATTCTTTTCCTTGAGTTTTGACTCCTCAATTTATTGGGAATACACTATAAGACGTGAGATATCCATATCACTAACTAGCATTGCCGTACGATATTTTTTTCTACCAAGTCATACACTTCCATCATGAACTTATTCATCTTAGCCCTCGAATCCGCCACTATAGTTGGAGCATACTTGGATAGTTGGGTAAACTTCAAGGCATACTCCTTAACACTCATGCTACCTTGCTAAAGGTTAATGAAATCTTGCATCTTAGCTTCCTTCAACTCTAGGGTAAAGAACCTATCAAGAAATGCCAACTTAAACTCTTCCCACTCTACGGGACCCACTCTTACCGGCCTACCATTTTTCCATTAATCATACGACACTTGAGCAACACCTTTCAATTGGTAAGCGGCTAACTCCACTATCTCTACCGAAGTCACCCCCATAATAGCAAGTACCTTATATACCTCAGCTATAAACTCTTTAGGATCCTCTTCTATTTTGGAGCCATAAAACTCCGGAGGGTTCATCCTCATAAAATACCTCACTCTTAAAGCGGGCATACCCACATTGGGTTCACCAGAGCTATGTGTCATCATGGTTTGGGCCAGCATTTGGATCGCCGATCTAAACTCCGCATTTGTAACATTCTCATCCATAGGGTTAATTAGAGCTTGTGGAGGTTGTGGGGGAACCTCTTGATCCACCACGTTTTTCTCATTCCTTCTAGCATTTGCCCTTGTATTAGCCATATCATGTAGACCATCGAGTAAGGATTAGGAGAAAGACCTTTTAGAGCTAAACTCTATAGCATGACGTAGACAAGTACAGAAGTGAAGTTTCCTAATCATCTAATAGCTTCCCATTCATAAATGTGGAACGCTTCACACATATGAACAAGACTCTACTAGACGTGGTTTTGAGACATCCTAGAATCACTCTAAACCTTGTGTTCTAATACCAAGTTTTTTATGACCCAGGGTACACCTTAGATGTACCAAGGCATACAAGACCTTGAGAGGCCTCATACATGCCCCTTAGCATATCATAACATAAAGCAATAGAAATGATGCAGAAACTTTAAAACTTTTTTCCATACAATCAAAGTCTTTTATAAAAGCAAGCGAAAGTCTATAACACTTTATCTCAAACCATCTAATACAACTTGAATAACTCTTGGGACACAGCTCATACAAAAGTCTAAAACAAAAAAAAATATAAAGGAAAGGTAATCAAATCCTCGATGCTATGAGGACTCACCAAATCATCAACTCCTTGCTTTACTAGGAACCTAGCCACAGGGATGAAACTCAATATCGCCGAACCCTACATTTGATAAGAATGTAGGCAAGAGTATGCGTTAGTACAAAATGTACTAAATATGATAGCTAGAATAACAACATAAGAGCATAACAACAAAGTCATAAGCATAATATCCAACATAGACATAATATAAGAATTAGTCATCATAAGGCATAATCCATAAGCATAAGAGCTACATCATATTCATAAGCATAGTCGATACTTAAATCCTCATAACATAAGAGGAACACTTCATAAGTAGCTTCAAATCATACTTGTGCAATTTATGGGTAAGATCTCATAATCTCACCCATACTGAGTTTCACCTTAGGCCATCATACATACTTACCATCTTTGATCTCATCCATAGCTTATTTCTCATAGATAAGGGAACATTCACCTTTAGTGAAACATATCAAGGAAGGCAACAATGGCAACAATCCAAGCTAACATACATCATATAAGAGAAACACTTCCTAGGTAACCTCAAGTCATACTTGTGCAATGCTTGGATAAAACCTCATAATCTCACCCATACTAAGTACCACTTTAGGTCATCATAATCTTACTTCTTGGTTGGGGACTAGTCCATATTTTAATACATTGGAACACTATAAGATACTTCCTTAAGCACATCTTAGTTCCTCTTTACTTTGAACACTATGAGATACTTCTTCAATGATGTCTTAATTCATTAATGCTTTTGAATAGTAGGAGATACTTCTTTAAGCATGTCTTAGTTCATTGGATACGGAGATTGCTACTAGAAACCCAAACTCCACTAGGTGAAGGCTTCCATCTCATGAGGCCTACTTTGGGAAAACCCGGACTCTACTATGTGAGATTTCCTCCTTCTTATTTGGAAGCCCGGACTCAATTAGGTGTGGACCTCTATCTCATTGTCAATCTCTACTCGAGGCCAAGCATACACCCGTTGGGCGAGTTATTAAGCCTTATTTAGCATTGTTGTCTCGTGGAAGGATGTCCTTGACAACCAATCCATGTTTCATGTGATTCTATCACATTATGCATTCAAACATTTATAAGGTAGATGAGGTGAGTAAAGTCCATCCACAACAATGATATCTACTAGTCTACCATTCTCATATAGGATTCACTCTCAAAGCCATTACATACATAATTCAACATATTAGCTTTACTCTAAAAGCCCTAGAAATCACATTCATGACTACAAGTCTTACTCTCAAAGATTTACTTCTTACAATCATCATACATACCTAGATTACAAGGCATTCTAATCAAATGTTTCATTCTTAAGTGATTCTAATCATATATCGTCATGAAGGTTCAATCTCAAGCATTATTAGTCATGATCCATCACATATTATTTATTCTAATTCAATTCATGTCTACATGCTTTTACCCTCAAGAAATTATTATATATATCATCAACCCTAGAAGATCATCTCTAAATCCTCAATTTCCCTTTTTCAAGGCATAAACCTACATTACTTCAATTTCATCAATTATACTAGGGTTAGACATATAAAACATGTAATTTCAACATAATAACATGATTCGCTACTACTTCAATCAGAAACAATCAATATCCACTAAATTGGAACAATACATATCATAACCCACAACATTGAAGAAATCCTAACTTGAAATGGGGAATTCTTCATCAAATTGGGGAAATTCTAGGGGGCTCAATGGATGGAAGAATCCATGGATGAATAAGCTATCATACCTTGGATAAAAATCCCTTACAAAGCTTGGAAGATTGGAGGATTTTTACCTAACTTGATTCTCTTATTCTTCTTCTTCACTTTCTAGAGAGAGAATATTTGAGAGAGAATTGGGTTTCTTTTTGGTGAGTTGAAATAATGACTAGGATCAATGAGTTTAGGGGGTCTAAAGTCTTTATATAGGTGGTATAGTTGAGGTTAAAATGACACCACTTAACCCTTAATTAAATCTGAAAAGATCCCTTAGCCCCCGACTTAACCAACCTCACTGCCCACTTTAGACCCAACCACGAGACCACGCCCACGGGCCATGGGTGGACCCACAGGGTGTGCTGGTCAATCATGGGTTGGGGTTTGGGAGTCTTCATTTGGGGCATGGGACCTACGGCCCTATCCACGAGGGGTGGGTCCTGCCCGTAGACACTGCCTTAGGTAAATTTCAAGGAGGGCTCACCCATGTTGCCCACCTAAGGGGTGTGGGTCCAGCCACGGGGAGTGGGTCCATCCACGGGGAGTGGGTGGCCTCGTGGTTGACCCTTGGAACTCAAAAATGTGCTAAACTTTCCACTCAAGGCTATGGGGTGTTACATTAGTACACGGATGGGAGGTTTGGATCGACTAATTTTTTCTTTATCCAACTTAGGATAGACAAAAACAACGTAATATATTAATTAAAAGACTAAAATGATCCTAATTGAAATCTGAGTTCTGCATCTTCCACGAGATCATTTATGATTAGTCTATTGATACTGTAGATACCTCTCATGGAAATCAGGTCCAAATTTTGGGTTTCTAAAGTTTGATTCACGGATCCATTTAAACGTGTATATAAGAATCATGATATAGTTTGAGTTTCAAGACTTTGATCTACGGACTAAACCATGAACTGTAAAATATTTTATGACCCATGAACTAAGACCGTAAAAATCAGAGAAGATTTGTTATTTCTGAATATCAATATATGAACCTCATCAACGATCTGTGGTTCCATTTACAGACCATAGAAGTCTTTTGTAAATCTCATACAAATTCAAATGTTTCTGAGGTTGGTTTACGACCCTCATCTACAGTTTGTAGTTCCTTTTACAGCATATAGATGATGTCCGTAAAACACTAATTTTTTTTGTAGACTGATTTTCTAAGATTCTCAAGGTCTGATATGGGCTTAGGACTTTTGGGGTGTTACAATCTTCGCCTTGAAAAATTCATCTTTGAATGGAGTATGAACACATTGAAAATTTAAGGAAAGGTGTGCAATCTCAAGCCTAAAAGCTAAATGCTGAAAACATATGGAGTGACTTGACTCCAAACTTAGAAATGAAGACTGCTATGATTTCATGAACATGAATGCATAATAATATATAAGAATAAATAAAATACATGAATCTGAAAAGAGTACTATGGAGGAACTATTAGTTCACATTAGGACCGAAATGAAAGGGAAAGGGTGGAGGGGAACTTGACCATCATAATTGATTCTATTTCTCAAGTAGTTCCCTCAACTATTTGATTCCTTCAATGGACTTTCATTGAAGCGGCTTCCTTACTCTTCAACTTACGAATCAGGCAGTCAAAAATCTCAACTGGAACATCTTCGTAAGAGAGACTATCCTTACACCAACACTCTCTAAAGGCACCATCGAAGTTGAATCATCAATGCTTTTCTTCAACAAGATACATAAAACATTTGATGCGCTGATGCTAGCTCTGCGGGCAAATCTAGCTCATATGACACATTATAAAAAACGCCTCATAATTTGGTAAGGATATACATAACGGGGACTGAATTTTCCTTTTCTATCAAACCTCATTACCCATTTCATGAGCGAAATTTTCAAATATAACCAATCATCAATAGCAGACTCAAGTTCTCTTCTTTTCACATCTGCATATGATTTTTGTCTACTCTAAGTCATTTTCAACCTTTTTCTAATAAGTTGAAATTTCTCCATTGCCTCATGAATTGATTCAGGCCCTACCAAGTTCACTTTATCAACCTCAAACCACCATATAGGATATCTACACCTCCTACCTAAAAGCGTCTTAAACAACGACATCTGAATACTATAATGATAACTATTATTATAAGCAAACTCAATCAGAAGCAAAGGATCATCCTAATTACCTTTAAAGTACATCTCACAAGCTCACAATTGTTGATATAATAGAAAAAGTGTGTCCTTGGCATAGAAATTTGAAGGTAGATCTAGCATTGAAATCCATGCAACTCTTATTGTTGTTTTCACATCCAGCTCAAACTATGGATCTCAAGTGTGCATCTTTCTATACATCCCTTTGCTTTGACATAATATGTTGATGTGGATAATAATTGGACATAACCCTCAAACAAAGACGGTCTAATAAGGATGTACCTTGAATTCAATACACCAATTGTGCTTTCTCCTCTGATTTCATAAAGCTTTAGGATTGCCCTATGCATTTCTCCTATATCTCCGATTTTTCATAGAAAACTTCCAATAATCGAATATTGTAGGTTTTCCTAAATGATAAGATTTTGTACTTCTGATGATTTCCACATAACATTAGGTTCCCCGTGTACCATTATCAATGCTTTGGGAGGGACTTTAACTCTGGTGAAATTAGTAGGCTTAGGTTTTAGCATCTTGACATAATTTGTTCCTACTTGTTCTAGAATAGGAACAGTGGATGTTCCATTAAGAAGAATATTGAAAATACAAAGACAATAGAGGGTTGTTGCTACTCCTTCAACACATTACACA